CTCCTCCTCCCCCCCTCCTGCACCTCCTCCTCCTCCTTCTCCTCCTCCTTCCCCTCCTCATCCTTCACATCGTATTTCTCCTCCTCCTCCTCCTTCTCCTCCTCCTCCTACTCCTCCCTCACTCTTTTCCCCCCCTGCCGTGCGGTTCGGCGGTCGGCGCTGCAGTGCACGTGAGCATGTCAAAGTGAACCGTGCAATGGCCTACTGAATCAATCCAGTCCTGGACGGCCACTTTTGCTGGAGCGTCCTGGACGCAGATGGGAGAAGCTAGGATGATGCGGGCGGACTCGGGAGGACTCGGAGATTCCAGCGGCGCTCCTTTTTAAATCCGGTGAGAACCCCGAGCCGAATGCTGCTACAGGCATGCGTGCAGGCATGCTGGCCGCCTCCGTCAGAAGGCCCCAATGCCAGACTGGAAAACCAACATCTGCCAAGCCAGCCCCCTAGGCTGGGCAGGTCCAAAGGAGGAGGAGGAGGAGGAGGAGGAGGAGGAGGAGGAGGAGGAGGAGGAGGAGGAGGAGGAGGAGGAGGAGAGGAGAGGAGGAGGAGGAGGAGGAGGAGGAGGAGGAGGAGGAGGAGGAGGAGGAACAAGAGCTAAGATGCGGAGGAAAACAACTGGGGGCACCTCCCGTAGGTACAGTGCTGGCCCCGCCCCAGTCCTGCACACCAGCGCCGGCGAGCGCCCGGCAGGAGGAGAAGGAGGAGCAGGAGGAAGAAGAACACAACTAACTAGCAGGCGCCAACATGCAGGAGGAGAGGGAGGGCGGCAAAGGCAGCAAGGCAGCAGGGGCGGGCGGGGGGCGGAGGGGGCGAGTGACGTCGGTGGAAGTCGTGGGTCGTCGTGGGTCGTCGTGGTTCAAGGGATCGTCGTGGTCGTCGTGGCGGTTGCTGGCCGTTTGGGGTCAGGCGGGGCGTCGGGAAAAGCGGGCGGGGTCGACGGCGAAGGCGGGCAGGGGGTGGTTCACACAGCATCCGCCGTGGCGGCTGCGTTGGCCGCGGCTAACCGCTCGGCCGTCGCGCCCGCTCGCGGCTGGAGGCGCCGCAGCACTGCCCGCGCATTTTCCCTGTGCAGGGAAATCGAAAACCGCTGGGCAAGCTGATCGGCCGCGAGCGCGGCGTCGTCTCCAGTAGCGTCGGCCGCGCGCTTTGCGAGCACCGCAAAGGCGCGTCGCGCCTCGCGGCCCCAACCGCCGCCGTGGGCCTCGCAGACCATCGGTATGAACGTCAGGCCGGCCTCTGAGCATTTGCGCTGCGTGTCCAAGTGCAAGCGCTTCTGCTCCTCGCAGCGGGTCGCCGCTGCGTCGCCGCCGCCCTCGGCGGCAGAAGCCGCGAGTAAGTCCGCGCGGAGGCCCGAGGTCACAGCGAAATCCCACGCCGCCGGCGTGCCGCCTCGCCACCGCGGGACGAAGACGTCCGCGGGGCGCCTCCCGTCGCCGTCCAGGTCGTCGCCGCCAGCCTCGCCAGCCGGGGGGCCCTCTCCAGGAGCGCGCGGCGGCAGCAAGCCCGGGCGCTCGAGATCTGCCCCAGCGTAGCCAGCAGCCAGTGCCTCGTGCCAGGCTTGGTTCCGGAGGCAGTTGTGGCGCTTCGTGCGGTCACCGCGGCAGCTGCAGGTGAGCGCGTGGTCTGCGAACACATCCATCACCTCCCCGCGCGCCGGGCAAAACGCCTCTTCTTCAAGCAGCTGGTGTCGAAGGCGTCGCTGCAGCGCAACTTGCATCAAGCTGCGCGGAAAGTCGGTGCCGAGCGCCCGGCACGGCGGCGCCTGCAAGTAGGCTCCAGCGCCTGGGGCCGCCACCAAGTTAAGGTGGGCCCTCGTCGCCTGCGAGGCGCGCTGCCAGAGGTCGTGGCGGACAGCGTCGTCCACCTTTCCAGAGAGGAGCCGCTGGTCTTCGTGCTGGGCGGGGTCGAAGGCGATTTGGTCTGCTGGAAGGACAGTGTGATTGTAAGCCTGCGTGGCTGCCGCCAGGCTGCCTCCGTCTCCGCCGTCGGCGTCGTTGTAGGCTCCGTAGAGCTGTCGGCAGAGTTCCGCGCTGCGGGCGCGCGAGGCTAAGTAGGCGGCCGCTGAGTGCTTCTCGGCGGAGCGGAGCCCGAGCCCGCCCCGGTTGAGCTGGAGCTGCGCTTGCTTCCAAGAGTCGTCCAAGGGGGAACATCCACTGAGCTGCTCCAGACAAGCCCGGACGGCGGAGTCCATGGTCTGCAGCGCGCCAGTCTGCGCCGTCGGCGGAACCACGCGCGCGGAGTAGCCCAGCTTGCAGTAGGAGGCGCACTGGCGGAGCAAAAGCAAGGCAACTTGGGCGTTTTCCAAAGCCCCGAGAGCCTCCAGCAGGTCAGCAGCCTTGGCCACTCTTGTCCTGGCGTGTTCCGCGCAGAAGTTGTCGTCCCCCACGGGGGCCCCCAAGAGTTCGAAGCTGTTGTCTTCCCTGAGACGGAAGCCTGGCGGGAACAAGTTCAAATCCACGCTGCTGTCCGCGCCGCTGGCAGGTACCACCTCGCACTTGCCTGGCCCAGTGCTGAGGTCCAGTCCAACTGCGGTTAAACGCCTCACCAAGTGGTGCATAAGGCGGGCTACTGCGGGCGCGTCTCCGGCCAGGCAGCCGTCGTCGAGGTAGAAGAACACCAAGTCCAGGGAGCCGACGGCAGGGTCGGCCTGCTCAGCGCGCGCCTGCTCCACGCAGCGTTGCAGTGCGAGCGCGAAGAGTAGCGGGCCGAGCGGGTCGCCTTGTTGAACGCCGCGCTCGGAGGACAGCGGCCGAGTTCTCTTCCCCAGGAACAGTGAGCTCGGGGCGCCGTAGCACCAGTCCACAAAGGGGGCTAGACCAGGGAAGTCTTCGTGAACGGCTTGCAGGACTGCCTGCCTGTCAAGCGTGTTGAAGGCATTCGACAGGTCGAGTTTCACGAACACCTTCTGGCGATCCCCCTGGTTCCTGCTCCACCACTGCCGCGCGACGTGGACCGCGGCCTCTGCGCCCCCGGGCACCGCCACCCCCAGCTGCAGAGGCGCAAGCCTGCCACGCGCCGCGTCTGACACCTCGCCGCAGAGGCACTTGCCCACCAGGCGGCGCAGGGTCTCGCCCACGGCGACGGGCCGCAGGCCGCCGTCTTTCTTCGGGAGGGCCGCCAGCGAGGCCCCGGCGAAGAACTTCGCGGTGGCTGGGGGCGCCTGGCCCCGGGCAAGCAGGTTGGTCAGGCTGAGGAGCTGCTCCAGGACCTCGTCCTTGTGGGCCGTCGTCTGCAGGGCGTCCTTGAGGTGCTGCGGTCGCAGGCCAGTCGGCCCCGCCGCGGACCCGCGAGGGAATGCCTTGATCTCCCGCTCCACAGCGGCCGCGTCCACCTGCAGGGCCGCCGCGGCGTGCACCTGGGGCAAACTGGAGAAGTCTACTGCCCGGCTGCTGAGAGGGTGCTTGCGGCGCATTTGGTCGACGACCTCTGGAGTGACGTCGACGGGCGGCTCGCTCACAAGAGCGGCACAACTCTTCGAGTACTGGGCGTCGGCCGCCAGTTCTAGGCACCTTTGGGCGCGCCCCGCGGCCTCGTCCTCGGAATGTTGCTTCCTCGCCTCGCGTCGCTCTGTTGTCTCGGCCCATAGTGACGCTCGCTCGCCCTCTAACCACCGTCTGCAAAGCTCTTTCGTTTCCGCCTCCGCGGCGTTCCTGCTGTTGCGGCCGCCGCGGGCGTGCGGCCGGAGCACGCACTTCGGTAGCATGGCCAGTTGGATCCAAGCAGCCTCGTTGTTGGCGTGGGTGGCGAGCGCCGTCGCCTGGACCAGGCACCGCGCCCACAGCGTGCGAGCGCCCTTGGGCACGTACCGCTTGGTGCCCGCGCGTCTGGCGAAAACCTCCTCCAGGGAAGGGAGTCCCGGAGGTCGCGGCACAGCGTCGTCAACGGCCGGGGCGGCTCCCGCGGCCGCTGCCCGGGCGGCGGGGCGGCAGCGGGGGCAGATGCCGTTGTAGCGAGTGGACAAGAAACGCTGGCACACGGAGCACTGGCTCAAGCGGTGATCGTCCAGGTAGTCTTGAGGCACTGGGGGGAGGCCAGGGAAACGACCAGCAGCATGTTCGTTCAGGTGTAGCCGCATGGACTGGTGGTCCGCCCACCCTGCAGTGGCCGCTGGGTCTGCGCGCGGACACCCGGGGACAGGACAGAAGGCCCGAGTGCGCGGGCGCACGCGCCGGGCGAAGTCAGGACCCTCGGGCGCAGCTGGCGGTGGCGGGGCTGCCGCGGCGGCTCCTGCGTGTTGTTGCGGCGGTTGGTGCTCGGCGGCTGGTTGGGCGCCTCCCGACGGCGCTGCTTCTCCCCGAGCTGCTGCTCGCCCTGGGCGTTGCTGTCGCTGCTGCTCCTCCAGCGGCACGCCGGCATCGACGTGCATATCCCTCTCCGCGTCGATATGCAGCACTTCCATCCGCAGCGCAATCTGTGGATCTGGTTCGTCGCCCTCTGTGCGGTTGCGCCGGAGTTGGCGCACTGGGGAGCCCTGGTTCCTGCCCATCTCCACGAAGGTGTTGTGCACTGCCACGTTCTGCTGAGGGAGGGCCGCCTCACGGATGTCGTTGTCGCCCGAGCCCGAAGCAGGGAAGGCTGGAGTGAGGACGGCTCTGGTCAGCAGCGCGGCCTGCGCGCACAACATCAATGTCGGGTGCGACTGGGCGTCCGCGATGGGGCTCAGAGCGAAAGTCGACGCCACCGTCACTGCTATGCACACTGGCCGGACGAAGTGAATCTCGGACAGCAGTGCCGAGGCACACGCACCAGCGAGAACTTGCTGTCGACGCGACCCGTATACCGCTGCCCCGAAAGACATGACCTGCGTAGGCGAAGTCGCGAAGCTCGCCGACAGAACGACCATCTGCTGGATCAAAGTGTTCGTCGAAAGAGTCCCCGCCAGCAGGTGTAAGCAGTGGGATCCACCAATGCCGCCTAACCACACGACAGCACGCCATGGGAAAGCCGCAAGCACCGGAGGGAGTAAGCTGAGGATGTCGTGGACAAGCACGAGCGCCCGCTCAACTCCGGAAGTGGCGCGGGGCCATGGCGAATACGTCCGGGGCGCACTCAACGGACTCGAAGATGTCGAACGAGCTCCTGAAACGGAGGAGGCACAGCTGCGCAGGTGTTGAAGAAATACCAGTTCGGCCGCGCACGTGCGCTGCCCAGGCGGGCCGCTGTCGAGCGCGCGGGCTCTAAGCAGTGGCATCGGCGGGTATCCGAACAGCTCCGAGATGCGGACCGTCTTGGTCTGAAAGTCCGTGGGGAGGCCCGTCGGCCCAAGCCTCCAGAGGACGTCGAACCACGTCGGCAGAGCGGCGGCACGGTCCTGCAGGGAACCTGGGGAGGGATCAGCACCTAAAAGGGGACCAAAAAACAGACCAAGATTCAGGGGAAAATTCGTTGGAGCGCCCGCTTGAAAGGCCTGAATCCCGTGACCCCATGAGGGTCTATGGCTGGAGAGGTGGCCCCTCCTAGCGCGGAATCCTCGGGAAGGCTTCCAGCCCCTAGAAAGCGAACGCAGGGGTGCAGCACCCTCGTTCCCTCGGACGCTCTCAATCCTGCTGCGTCGACGGGCGGGCGGTCCCGGCGGGTGCGCAAAGGAGCCTGGGCAAGGAGGAACCTGGCCCCTGGTGGGCAGAGGACCTGGGATCCCGTCGGGAGACGCAGGGAAGACAGGAACGATCGCGTTAGACGAACCTTCCGAGGTCTTCTGGGACGCCAGGGCCCCCAGGGCCACAGGGGGCGGGGGATCGATCGGCCTTCCGTGGCATTGGGACCCACGAGTCCACGAAGGCGTCCCAAGCGACGAGGCGGCGCCAGCGTCCCAAGCGACGCGCGGCAGCAGCACCAGCCCAGCGCTCGGCGCCAGCGGGGAGTCCTCCACGTGCAGCGGCAGCACGGCGCGCGGCGCAAGCGCGGGGCATGCGGGCTCCTCAAATGGGACAGCCCTAGAAGGAGAAACAAGAAGCCCGCACCCGTACCCCGCGACCCAGACGTGCTGGTGTGGGGACGGGCGAGACAGAGGCGGGGTAGGAGAGAACGGGCAAGGAGGACAGAAGAAGGAGGGGGAGGAAGAGGAGGACGCCGGAATGAGAAAGGCCACCAGGGGCGATCCGCGGATGGGGTAGGGAGGGTGGGCGAAAGTGGGCCCCACGGAACCTAAACCCAACTGAGTTTGGATAGTCCCCTGAGTCCACGACCGCGCACGAGACAGCGGCATCCCAGGCGGAGGGTCGTCCACGTGCAGCGTCAGCACGGCGCGCGGCGCCGGCAAGCGGCTGGCGGACTCCTCAAATGTGACAGCCCTAGAAGGAAGAATAAACTCGCAACCGCATCCCGCGATCCAGACATGCTGGTACGGGGACGGGCGAGACGGAGGCAGGGGAGGGGAGAACGGGCAAGCAGGAAAGGAGGAGGAGGAGCAGCAGGAGGAGGAGGAGGAGGAGGAGGGGGAGGAGGACGACGACGTCGGAGTGGGAGTGGCCCCCCAGGGAAATCCGCCGAGGGGGTTGGGGGTTTGGGGGCAAACAGGCCCTGGGAATCCTGACCCCCACAGCATGGTGGAGTTACCCCGGAATGAGCCGTCTGAGTCCTGCTCCAGGCCAAAGGGTCCCGGGGTAGCACGGGGAGGCGAGCCAGTCACCCCCTTTTGAGTTTCGAATCCCTGTGTCCACGAAATCGTCCAGCTCGGGCCGGGGCTGGCGGTCTGGCGGCCGCAGGGCGAGAAGTCCAGCCAGTCTGGGTGGGGCGCCGGGTAGGGCGTCGGGCTGGGGTGGGGCGTCAGATAGGGCGCCGGGCGGGAGTGGGGCGCCATGCTGGTGTACGGCGCTCCGTAGGGCGTCGTGTTGGGGTAAGTCGTCGGGTAAGGCGTCGTGCTGGGACACGGCTTCGGATAGGGCGTCCGGCTGGAATTGGGCATCGGGTGGGGCGTCGGGTTGGGGAGCGTCGGGTACGGCGTCGTGCTGAGGTAAATCGTCGGGCAGGGCGTCGTGTTTGGGCAGGGCGTCGGGCAGGGCGTCGGGCTGAGGTAGGGCGTCGGGTGGGGAGTCGGGAAGGGCGTCGGGCTGGAATAGGGCGACGTGTTGTGGCAGGGCGTCGGGCTGGGCGTCGGGCTGGGTAAGGGCGTCGGGCTGGGGTGCTGGGTTGGGAGACGATTGTCTGACTGTCGCGATCGAGTGGATGTTTGGGATCGTGGGGGCGGGCGGGGGTGTGAGCAAGCAGAAGCATTGGGCAATGGAGGGCAGGAGGAAGCGGGAGCCTGGTCAGCGCATTCGGGAGGCGTGCAAGTTGATCGAAGGCGCCGTGACATTACCACGTCCGCCTCCGAGATCTCCGAATTCGGGGCCGCGTCGAAAATTTCGCGCGGCGCGCGCCAAGGCCGGGGAGGGTAAGCAGCAAAGAGACGGAGGGAGGACGACGAACAGGAGGAGAAGAAGGGCCACGGGCGCGGGTAAGAGCAGGGAGCAAAACAATTGTCTTCATGCACCTCGCTCTGAACAAAACTGCAAAACTCGAGGATCGAACTACTGGGCTCAGGTGGCTGCCCCGCGCCGCGCACAGAGGCATGTGCGGGCGGGGAGGCGGAGGGAGGGGCGGGGCAGGAGGCGGAGAGAGCAAAAGGCGCGAGGGGCGTGCCACTCATTGCGTCCACAAGCCTCACGTCCCCCTCCACGTTCACACACGGATGCGGCCTCCCGCCGGTGTCGATAATGTCTGTCGTCAGCGAGTCGGGCGGGTACTCCCTGACGAGGTGCCGGTCGGAGTCGCCCATGCGCGGTGTGTGGCAGTGCAGCGCGGGCAGGTGGACGAGCGGCACGGCGTTGACGAAGGCGTAGTAGCCCAGGGACGCCTGGTCGGACACGGCGTGGGGCCACTCCCTGCACGACGCCACCTCGCCGATCGCGTCGAGGGCGAGCCGGTTGAGCAGGACGGCCCCGCCGTCGAGGCACGGCGCGTCGAAGTCGTACGCCTCGGTGTCGGACAGGCAGTGGCCGAAGACCAACGGGTGCTCGCGCGCGGGGTGCTGCACGACAAAGTAGAAGAGGCGCGCGAGGTTCACAAACACGTCGTCGCCGAACAAGACGACCCACTCGGTCTCGGGGGCCAGGCCGTTCATCGCCCCCTCCGCCACGGCGCCGCGCATCCAGATCAGCAAGCGGGAGGCCGCCATAACGTCCCGCTGGCCGTGGACTCCGCTCCCGTCGTTCATCAACACCTGGCGGCTCTCGGGCGGCCCGTCGGTGAGTTCGTCCTCCAAAAAGATCCGATTGGAAGTCGCGCCCATCCACACGCGCTCCATCCGCACCGCCATCTCCTCCCGTGCCTTGGTGGCCTTGACGACAAAGGCCACGTGGCGCAGCCCGAGCTCGCTGTCGATGGCGGGGGCGTCGGCGCCCTCCAGAAGCTGCCGCAGCTCCTCGTACGGCGCCAGGCTCCAGAACCGCTCCAGGCGCGTGCCCGAGGCGCGGAGGCCCTCCGAGATGCCGTCCGCGGCGCCGCCGGCCACGCCTGGCCCAGCGAGCCGGCCGCCGCCGCACAGCGCCAGCAGCCACGCCGCGCACCCGCGCGGCCAAGGCGAGCCCCCCGCGGGCCACATCGCAAGCCCCCGCGCGGCGCCAGCCGCGCGAGCCCCGCGCTGGCGCTTGAGCCAGCTCCTCCTTGAGACACGCACACACGCACACACGCACACACACACACACACCCACACAGCCACACACCCACGCACCCACGCACCCACGCACCCACGCACCCACGCACCCACGCACCCACGCACGCACGCACGCACGCACGCACGCACGCACGCACGCACGCACAGAGAGAGAGAGAGAGAGAGAGAGAGAGAGAGAGAGAGAGCCGCGCCTGGACGGCGGGCGCATCGGCAAGGCTGGCCACGTGAGACGCATGTGCACTAGAACGGGATTCGTGCACACGCGCACCTGCAATGCCTCGGCAGCGTACAGTCGGGGCGCTGACCTAAAGAACCCTAAATAAGGAACGAGCACCCTGTTCGCCAGAAGTTTAACTTCGATTTCCTTTCGAAAACCCAAGGAAAACGTGGGGCAAACTGTGAAACAATTAAGGCGCACGGAGCCGCTACCCAACGAAAAGAGTTCCTTCCTCAGCGCCCCGACTGTACGCTGCAATTCCCTGCCACGGCGAAGCGCGAGGGTACGCTGCAGTGACACCTTCCACAAGAGACCCCAGCCCTGGCCATCGCTCGGACGTCCATTCCCCGTGTTTTTTTCGGTTTTGTGCGTGGTTGTGCGTGGCTTTTCGCCAAATGATCAAGGATGCTCCTCGATGGTCCTCGCCGAAGGAAAAGCGCACACGTCCGAGCGATGCCAGGAACCCTGAGTCCCAAGGACGTCCACTGACTTGCGGCGTGGGAGCGGCACGCTCTCCACAGCTACGCCACTGAAACCCAAGAAAAGCCAGGGCACCCTGGAGGCAAGCAGGCATTTCTTGACCTTGGTCTCCACTGCAGGGGGGAAACACCGACCTGGAATCGGCGATACATCGCCGATCGAAAAAGCTGCGTATGAAGGGGCCCAAGGACACACAAATAAATAGACACAGATAACAGGATTCCCCATAATTTCACATCTGTTCTGGGCTGTTTGTTTTCTCTAATAGGGACCGGTAGTACTGACGAGTTAACAACCAATGACGTGCCCTGAAACGCAAATCGCACATGGTTGAAATCGGAATGACCTGACACGCGTCTAAGCTCCGTGAGCCCCCACGCAAACTCAAACGACAAGAGACAGAAAAGGAGCAGAGGAGACGAGGCGGTCAGAATCGAAGACCTCGCGTGCCGATAATGCTGGGACATCTCCAATGTCTGGCCATGCTCTTGGAGCCCAACTCCGAGCGAACAATATTCGCCAATACAGAAGGAGAAGCGGGAGGAGGAAGAAGAGGGAGGAGGGGAGGACAAAGGAGGAGGCGGAGGAGGATCAAACCAGCACTCAAGGAGCAGCGCTCAAGCCAACCTGCCATAGGCGAGCCGTTGCGCGCATCCGAGATCTAACCAAACATGCAACAATAAGCAGAGCCACATCACAGTGGCCCGCTGGAGGGCTGCAACAGACAGCTATCACATACGTAATAATAGGCGGCATGCAAGAAGAGGTAGGAGCAGAGCAGGACGGCAGAGACGAACGACCGAAACAGCGACGAGGGGAGGAAGAAGAGAGGGGCGTAGCCGCAGCCGCCGCATGGTTCTGCACGCAGCGCCGGCTACCCCCCCTCCGCGGACCAGATCTGGAGCTCCGAGTGGCGGAATTCGGGGGGGAGCGAGGACGAGACAGGCAGAGGAGAGAGAAAGCAGGCCCACCCCAGCAGGGCAAGCCAGCGTTCCGCCTCCGGAGGTAAGGGCGGGACAAAAAAAACTAGAAGGGAAGGGGCTGCGACCCGAACACTCGACGGACACGGAAAAGGCAGCGAACGAAGCTGCAACCAACTTCGAAGCTGCCTGCCGGATGCGCCCGACTGCTTACGCAAGTTGTTCTCCTAGGCAGTGGCGAAACAACCTTATTCACCTAAACATCGGCGAAAAACTATCTGACAGCGCCGACCGGATGAACGTCACCGCGCTCTGGGTGCGCGCGACTGGTCACAGGGGCTGTTCTCATAAGCGCTGGCGAAAAATCTATCGACGGGCTGGCATCCCCCCGAAAACGGGGTACCATCGAATTTGCACGACTTGTGAACAACGTCGCCTCACGCGACGATGCCAAGATGCCAAACAAGCCCGCAACAAGTCCGCATGGCAATCTAATCGGTCGCAGGCCAAGGCCAGCCGACCGACCGGCCAGAGAATCGATGCAGAACGAGGCCGTATATTCATGTGACAACGGGGACTGCGTTATACCGTCTCTGGATTGTGGGCCAGGGGAACTCATTGCACAAATTCGACACCGACGGATTGACCAGCTGGTGGTGCATTCTGTCGGCACCAATTTGCCAACAGCGGCCCGAGCTGAGGTTAACAAATGTCCCCCCCCCGGCGGGCACCTAGTCTGCAAAGCACTGACGAAAATGTGCACACGCACTGTGTCTCGGCATCCTTGTTTCTGACACGCATGGCAAAACGTGCGCAAATTGGAGGGAACGGGAGGAGGAAGAAGGAAGGGCGGGACGAGAAGGAGGGAGGGCAGGAACGGCGGAAAACGCCGAGCAAGGTGCGCCATGCTGCCGCCACGATGCTCGCGAGACGTGGATAGGCTGCACACACATCGCGACCGAACTGCCACCAGGCGCCGCAGGCATCAACCGTCGTGCCGTGCCGGGCAGCCGAGGAGGTGAGATACGCACAGTACGTGGACAACCCCCTGCGTGCCAGCACTTCGGAGGGGCTATCTGTGAAAGCCGGCGTCAACACGAGAAAACTGGAGAGACGATCAGGGGAGAGGAAGAGGAAGATGGAGGTGCCGGGCGCCGATTTCGGCAAGGCGGAGGCAAAATGCGAAACGTTGCAGACTGTCCTCGCCCCTCCCACATCCAGAGGGGCAAAGAGTCCGGCGCTGAAAGCGGCGGCCCGTGCACCAACCGTTGCGTAATGCTCTCTGTACGCGGCAGCCCAAACCCGAGGGAACACGAGCGCGGCAAGCCCTCGCAACGCCGCCTCTGCTCGCGGTGCCCAGCGGCCGGGGAGAAGGGAAAGGGAAAAACGGGGGAAGGAACGGGAGAGCTGAAGGGTGATGCTCTTTGGGCTTGGCGTCGTCAAGACTTCCCGGCACATTTGCTGCCACCGTGCTCGAGGCACTGGTTCCGCAGCGGAGCCTTGCAACCATGTCTCGGCCGACAACCCCGCCCGAGCGGCGCGTACCTGCAATTGCCCAGGAGCGTTGTGCAGATGCACGATTCTTTTGCCCTCGTACCATGCGGGCCATGTCGCGATCCGGAGTAAGTGGTCCGAGCGCAGCTTCGAGGCGAGCAGCGAGCGTATCCGGTTTGCAATTTGCAATCCGCCACCGTCTCGGGCCTCCCACCTGTGCACGCGGCATTCGGCTGCCAGCGCCGTAGCATATGCATCTGGCAGCTGCGTCGGGAATCCGACGGGAACCAAATTCCTCAAGGCCGCCGGCGAAGTCCAAGAGCGAGGCCTTGGGAACAACAGCGAGCACGCCCTTTGCTCATGCTATTTTCCAATTTGACGGTGCCGCGCCCAGCTGCAACAGGAAGCCCAGAACCGGAAACATGTACGCCATGTACGCCATGATGGTGTAAAACGTACCGCACCCGATATCGCGCCACACCCTGGCCGTGGAGAGGAACTTCTCCAGTGGCTTCTTCCACGACAGCTCTCCTGTCTCGGGGCCCGCCACGAAGCCCAAGTACGTGGCGTGCCGGCGGACGGCGAACTTCCCCCATGTCGGCGCCGCTGCGTGTAGACGGGCCCTGGCCTGATCGAGAGGATCCAAAGAGAGTGGGGCCCAAACAATTCTACATCTATAATGGGCAGGACCGCTAGGCTGTGTTCCCCTGGTATATCGGCCCAAAGTGTCGAAAAAGTGTCGGGCGACCCTTTTATGAGGACCTCAGAAAAAGTGTCAGAATTCGCTTGGCCATTTCAGAAACGATGCAATGCCGTATGATAATGATTGTGATATGTTGAGCCAGCGGGTTGCCTCCTCCTCCTCCTCCTCCTCTCGTTCCTCCTCCTCCTCCTCGTTCTTACTTCCTGCGCTTGCAAGAGTAGTTCTGACGCCATTGTCCCTGATAATACATTGCCGTGCCGTGCCGTGCCAACGTAAGAGGTGGCGTGCCGCATCGTACCGCCTTGATGTATCGACCTGGGTGCTGTGCTGCGCCGTGCCGTGCGCAGCTGTCATGTTTCTGGCCGTGCCGCTCTGCGTAGTTCAGCGTGTCTTTCCGCATTGTGTATTGTTGAGGCTAAACGGTCACCAACCCCCACATGAGGGTGCCGCTGCGTACGGATGACCAGCTTATTCGCACATTCGTTCTCTGTACTACGCAATCTATCCTACAATGACTGGGCATTCTGTTCAGTACATGTCATTGGACTCCAACGAGCCACAATAGAGCCCCGATCTCCCCTCAACCTCCAGAAGACCCAACGTCATCTCCACACTTACCTGATACCATCATACGCATCCCTTTCCTCCTGCACTTGATGGATGGTTCATGCCCGAAGAGGCACATGGCGTCGCTCATTCCGTCCGTTTTGGCTCTCAGGCCCCGTCGGGGCTAGGGTTTCCTCGTGGCAATGCCCACGGACATCCAGGCTTCATGTCCGATATCGCAGCCGCCGCCCCTGATGGGAAGCGGCGGAGACTGGATGCATTAGCTGCTGGTCGCGCTACGGCCCTGGCCAACAGGCGGGAGAGACGGCTCGTACAAGCTTCATCGACACCTGTGGGTTTCAGGGTTGGCGCAGTTGATCTTCGTCGCATGATGGCCCCAAAGCTGCCTGGGGTACCCCACCCTCTTGTTGGCCACATGGGCACCGTGCTCCCTCTCGCATTTCGCTCGCCTGCACAGCCACGTGAGAACCCGACTGTTGTGCAGAAGTTCTTGTTGGGGTGCGAGGCCTTGTCGGCCAAGTCTCTGGAGTTGCAGGCCGCAGAATGT